AAATTTTTTATCATTTTTATCATTGGAGTTGTCTGTTCTTTTTGCGGTCAAGATTTTGTCTCACTGGGCCGCCATGTGTGGCGTTGCAAAGACAGAATTCATCGAGAGGAACGTCCCATTATACGAGAAGAAGAAGTGCAGAATACTAACAATACCGTTTGCTACGTTAAATGCTGTTGTGGAAAGCTTTGCAAAGGGAATAGGGGTTTAAAAATGCATCAAAGGAGTTGTAAAGTTGTTACGGGTTTGAACGATCAACTACGTGCTGACCTTGATGCCACAGCTGATCAACAATCTGCAGCCGAAAATCGAAATCCAAATGTTAATCTAAATAATACTGGAGTTCCTTTAATTCAACCTGAATACTACAGTTTTCCTAATATTAAAAAAGGAATAAATTTGCCCGATTCTAAATTACAAATATCATTAATATTTTTTTATAATTATAACTTTATTTCAGGAAACACCGAAAGAAAAATATTGAAAAACATAGAGGACGTAGTAAGAGCCGCCCTACCTCGAGAGTCATTGCAGGAGAGCTACGATAATCCCACCCTAGCTAAACAGGTCGTCCTTAACAAGATCTCTTTTTGTTCCCAACAAATTGAGGTTTGTTATTCAAAAGTATCATCTTAGATTAGAAATGACTTTTTTTACAAAGTGCACTTATTTCCTTGTAGAACATGAACTACTTAACCCATAGTCAGTAATCGTTATACAATTATATGTCAATTATGCAATACATGACTTTTTCACTTAGAGAAACTGCAATGAAATAGAGTCATTTAAACATGTAGCACGTCTGCAGTAAGAAATTTTTAAATTCTGAAATTCTGAAAGTATATTCACTAGAACAGCAATATTTCTTTTCAACCTAAACTTCCTCACGACAACGTTTGAGAATTAAATAGACTTAGACACGTAATATCGAAGGGTCATGTGTCCATGATTTGTGATCTCATACAGCTGTGGCCACCATATAACTTCGATTTCTCTTGTAGCTCTTCCTATTCCCTCTCCAATCTCGATCGTTGATAAACTAGAAATTCTAAAATCTCTTGGTGCTGCTATCTTAGTAACGTCGTATGGATTGTATTCCATTGCTGCCTCTATTTCTTCGTCCAGAGATACTTCTGTCGGAACAACTTCCTTGTATCCAGAATAAAACGCATCACGTTTTAGCTGGACTAAATGCTGCTCTCCAATACATTGTATGACATTTTCTATGGTGTATCCCTTGTATGAGAGTCTTTGGGCGCATGCGGAATATACTGGGGGCCTTTTGTGGCTTACGTATTTTACGCTATCCAGGACTAGATCGAGACGTGTGACCATATGTTTGAAGAAACTCACGGGAACTTGTATTAAATCAATTCTATACCACCGTCCTACAAGAAAAGGTCAAGAGATCATTATTAAAAGCACCGTAATTATGAAAGTGTGTGTTATAAAATATATACTTTACCTGGAAAGTCGGGATGAAGCGAAGCATTTATTTGCTCAGTAATTCCAGCAAGCCAAACTTGATACGATTTATACTCTTTAGAGCGACGACTCATCAATTCCATTTTTGGAAGATTTAGTTCGCTCTTGTCACTTTGTTTGAAAGTTAATCGTTTCTGGTCTACTCTTTGGCTTGGATGACGCTGTTTGAAATGTTTGATYAATGCTCGATGTGTCTTAAAGCTTTTGTTGCATACGTAGCAGTCAAGTGAGCATGTTATCTTCGACATTTTAAAGGCTGACCGGCATAAAGTAATAGTTTGCTTATTAGCCGGCGTTTCAACAACGGAAGCTTGTATGTATCAAATTTCCTACGCCCAAATGGCTTTCGATTGACTACACTAGAAATGGGTCCCAAAATTCCATGCATTTAATTTGTTTCGTATTGCATTTTTTCAGCGTTACCAAGGCTTGATTGACAAAGGGACCTTCACGAGAGACTTCGGGAGCAAACAGGAAGATATACCCTTGCATGGATCGKGTAAGATTTTTGTAACCAAGCAGTGTTCTCAAACTTTTTTTGGTTATCTCTGAATAACGACGGAAATAACAGCTAATCATCGTATTGAACGTCCTAACGCATGTAAAAGTATTTTTCAGTAACATAGTGCAATTGATTTCAACAGTGATATATAAGTGCATGTTAGAAAACAAGGCCATGTTTGAAAGCGAGCGGAAAAAGTTGCAGGACAAGCTACGAGTTTATAGAGTCCCTTTAGCAGTTCTCAGGACTAACAATAAGAGGTACCTCTTATAAATATTTTTCATTTTTTTAAAGTAGGAAGTATGTGAATTTAATTAGTAAAAAAATCTATCCAAGCACTAACAGAAAAAAGACCAAAAAGTCAGCATCAATGGCGGGATTATCGGAGTTTGCGGCAGAAATTTTGCAAGACTATCACTTAAGGGTAAGCTTTATTCTGAAATTTCAAGGATTGAAAGACAAAATGAGTAAAAAAAATGGCTACATAAAATGTATAAATGTCATTTAGGTTTTTATTCAATGGCGAGAGATAGCGGAAATAATGCGGAAAGAGGTCTATGGGAAAGAAAGTCAACATCTCATTGACGTCTTCGATTTGAAGGTTAGAGCAATCAACATCCGGTAACACTGAATGTAGTATAATATTTCGTTGATTAGTTATTGATTGTTATAAGCTAAGAGAGTAGATTTGTATCTTGATTTTGGTGGTCCCTTCGCTCTGATTTTTGAAAAAATGGCTCGCAACAAGAAGAAAAATGGTGTTAAAGATAAAGAAGCCATTAGAAAAGCAGCGAAAAAGAGATGGAGAATTAAAAAAGCCTCTCAAAAAGCCTCTCAAGTAGCAGCACAGGATGAGCAGAATGACTTCCRAAATCACCAAAATCAACCTGTGTCGACTCAAGCCACGTCTCCTAAGAAAGAAGACGTAAAGCAAAACGCTCTACATGGTAGCGTAAAAGAAATTGCCCCGTGCGAAGTTGTAAAAACTAGTAAGGTTATTGGGTCTGGGACATTTGGAAGCTGTTATCTGGCCAAGTACCGAGGGATACTAGTAGCAGTTAAAGAATTCCGAATTCCTGCGAATGAGCATGAGGAAATGATTAAAAGAGACGTAATTTACGAAGCAGCGGTAATAAGCCGGCTTGGCGACCATCCTGGTCTCCCACTTTTGTTTGGCGTCACGATCAACAAAAAACCATTTCGGCTGATCACCCAGTTTCATGGCAAAGATGAATCCAGCCTAACACTGCACAAAGCAATAAAAAAGGTTACTTTGCAAAGCCAGCTCTGGTTAGTGTTGATGCGCGAGATCACCGAAGCGCTTCAACACATCCACGTAATGGGCTTCCTTCACAACGATTTGAAGTCGAACAATGTTGTTCTGGAGAGAAACTCCAGCAAATATAATGCCGTTATAATCGACTTCGGAAAAGCAAGGAGAATCTCGCATCCAAAGCCTCGAAAGAATATGACTTCGTCTCAGCGTANCAAGCCACGTCTCCTAAGAAAGAAGACGTAAAGCAAAACGCTCTACATGGTAGCGTAAAAGAAATTGCCCCGTGCGAAGTTGTAAAAACTAGTAAGGTTATTGGGTCTGGGACATTTGGAAGCTGTTATCTGGCCAAGTACCGAGGGATACCAGTAGCAGTTAAAGAATTCCGAATTCCTGCGAATGAGCATGAGGAAATGATTAAAAGAGACGTAATTTACGAAGCAGCGGTAATAAGCCGGCTTGGCGACCATCCTGGTCTCCCACTTTTGTTTGGCGTCACGATCAACAAAAAACCATTTCGGCTGATCACCCAGTTTCATGGCAAAGATGAATCCAGCCTAACACTGCACAAAGCAATAAAAAAGGTTACTTTGCAAAGCCAGCTCTGGTTAGTGTTGATGCGCGAGATCACCGAAGCGCTTCAACACATCCACGTAATGGGCTTCCTTCACAACGATTTGAAGTCGAACAATGTTGTTCTGGAGAGAAACTCCAGCAAATATAATGCCGTTATAATCGACTTCGGAAAAGCAAGGAGAATCTCGCATCCAAAGCCTCGAAAGAATATGACTTCGTCTCAGCGTARGTCATACCTCAAGTTGTACCCGCACATTGCTCCTGAAATCCCGAAGGGAACGGGACAACAAAGTGTTAAAAGTGACATATTTTCTCTTGGATATATGTTTACTCATATTCAGCCACTATTATCTGATGAACAGCAGAAAGCAATTTACCCTTTCCTCAAGAAAGCAGTGGGACCGGTCGATGCCAGACCGAGCATCCATACAATTCTGCAGTATCTATAACTATTCATCGCAGTGTCTATATGAACAACGACCTAGCGAATTTCCTCAACATACTGTATAGCCGCCTTGGCACTTAGAAATTTTCGCTGTTATTTTAGTTGTACTCTACTACTTAACTGAATTGGACAGTCTCAATTTTACTCTAAAAGCTGTAAATAGTTATATGATTGTTAAGAATTTCGCCGTACACAGGAATATTATTATTAATACTTGTTGAAAGCTCGGTTAAAAAGTAAATCAATTTTGCACAGAAGAATCAACAAGTATTAATAGTTATATAATTGTTATATTATTTTTCTCTTGTATCATACTGTACGCAATTCATCTATATTCAAAAAAATTAAGTTGAGAATGAAGAGAATCTCCAGTTTACGAGAGCAATTGTTGGACATAATAGAAGCAAGTTACATAATTTTGGACTATTTATATATCTATAAAAAATCAAACAACAACGAAACTATTTTTTCSATGTCTAAATTCATACAACAAAATGTTTGAACTAAGGGCAACATTAATTAAAACCAAACAAATAATTTTAAAAAAGTACAAATAATGTACTCTTTAATAGTCTTTTATAAATATCCTGTTGTATAGCTATCATAACTTTTATCAGAAGTACTTATACTTCTGCTTTTATCAAACCGATCATACCATAGTATGATTCGTATTTTATTATTTAGTTAATGAAAAGCAATTGTATAAACTTTGAAAACACAGAAGTTTATTGAACTATCTATGTAAAACGTGTTACAATGTTTCCTTAAAGAATGCTTACCTTTTTTCTTTAAGTGCAAAGACTGGGGTTTTTTACTCAGAGARATGTTTGGGCCTCAGCTTGGTACAGGTGACTACGGCCATATGACAATAGAACATGCAAGTGTCCTATTTCGTGTATTTGGTAGCGTAAGGGAATATTCTAATCAGTCAATAGAGGCTGCCCACTCTATGCAAAGACAGCTATACTCCAAAGCTACATCGCATGATCGGCATGGTTACACGTCTTCAAGTAGGTGGYATTATTGTATAGACTTATCACATATTTTTGTGTATAACTAGTATTGAAAGATCATATATCTTCGTGACCTAGCGATTACGTAATTAAGTTTTTAATCCTCAACTAACCCATACCTGTTGTACATCCATTTCTCACCCCTTTAAATAAATCGATTTTTATTWTGAGGTGAGAGGCGGATGTACACAGGCTACCCATACCATCTAAATTGTTTGGTCTAAAAATCAACATGGCTTGGCTATTAATTTTGATTATTCAGAACTTACACTTGAGACAAATGATTTATTTTTTAGCATGACGCTATATTTTGAAAACGATATGTGGCTACTACCCTGATCA